AGATACATATTATATATATACAGAAATATATATGTGCATATATATATATGAATTAAAATGAGATCAAATCTTCATATTAAAAAAAAGTCTTCAAAATTAGTAAACAATCTCTAATAAGCCCAGCTTTTTAAATGTGCTTTTAAAAAGTCTTAAATCTTGGGGCACCTGGGTGGCTCAGTCAGTTAAGCAACTGACTCTTGATTTCAGCTCAGGTCATGATCTCAGGTGGGATCAAGCCTCACATATATCCTGGGGCAGAGCCATGTGACAGGCTCTATGCTCAGTGGGGAGTCTGCTTGAGATTCTCTATCCCTCTCCCTCTGCTCCCTACCACTGCTCATGTGCATGTGCACTCTCTCTCAAATAAATAAATAAAATCTTTAAAAAAATAAAGTAAAAAGTCTTAAATCTCTTAAGCATTTGCTTCTGTGTCTTCAAGACAATTTTATCTGCAAAGAAACAAAAACAAACCCAAAAACCCAATGGGTTTGAAAATCTTCCACTTTCATAAAATAATATTAAGCTACTAAGAGACAGAAAGAATAAAAGACTTCAAAATCATGAAGGAAATGAAGACTTTTTCAAAGCCATTAATAATACATGAAGCCAGGGTGGGGGCTGAGGGAGTGATTAACAGGAAGTAAAAATGCAAAACATTTTAAATAATGTTTTACTACTTATTAAACACTTCACATAGTAATCAGAGAAGAAAACTACTCCAAGAGATATCATTTTATCAGGAAAAGTGAATTCCCTATATGCACACAGACATTACACCCTTCACAAAAATCAACTAAAAATGATCATACACCCAAATGTTAAACATGAAACTAAAAAACTCCACAAAAAATAACATAGGAGAAAACCGAGATAACACTGGGTATGGTGATGGCGTTTTAGATACACAAAGGAACGATCCATGAAAGAAATCAGTGATAAACTGGACTTGATAAAAATTGAAACCTTCTCCTCTGTGTAGGACACTGCCAAGAGAATGAGAAGACAAGCAACAGACTGGGAGAAAATATTTGCAAGAGACATATCTGATATAAGACTGTTATCCAAAATATACAAAGAACTCTTAAAACTTAACAATAAGAAAATAACCTGACTAAAATATGGGCCAAAGACCTTAACAGACACCTCACCAAAGAAGATATACAGATGACAAGTAAGCATATGAAAAAATCTGCACATTACATGTCTTGAGAGAAATGCAAATTAAAACAAGATACCACTACATGCCCATAAGAATGCCCCAAATCCAGAACGCTGACAAACCAAATACTGGAGAGGATGGGAAGCAACAGTAACTCTCATTCATCGCTGGTGGGGACGCAAAATGGTACAGCCACTCTGGAAGACAGTTTGGTAGTTTCTGACAAAACTAAATATACTCTTTATCATACAATCCAGCAATCATGCTCCTTGGTATTTACCCAAAGGAGTTGAAAACTCACATCCACACAAAAATCTGCATACAGATATTTATAGCAGCTTCATTCATAACTGCAATAACCTGGAAGCAACCAAGATATTCTTCAGCAGGTGAATGGATAAATTACATGTGGTATATCCAGGCAATGGATCTTATTAAGCAATAAGAAGTAAGTGATCAAGCCATGAAAGGACATGGAGGAAACTTAAATGCATATTGCTAAGTGAGAGAAACCAACCCTAAAAGGCTACATACTACTGTATGATTCCAACTATATAACGTTCTGGGAAAAGGCAAAATTATGGAGACAGTTAAAAAAAAAAATCAGGGATGCCTGGGTGGCTCAGTTGGTTGGACGACTGCCTTCGGCTCAGGTCATGATCCTAGAGTCCCGGGATCGAGTCCCGCATCGGGCTCCCGGCTCCGCGGGGAGTCTGCTTCTCTCTCTGACCTTCTCCTCACTCATGCTCTCTCTCACTGTCTCTCTCTCAAATAAATAAATAAAAATCTTTAAAAAAAAAAAAAAAAATCAGTGGTTGCCAATGTTGGGGGGGGAAGAGAAGTAGGTGAATCACAGAGAATTTTTAGGGCAATGAAAATATTCTGTATGATACCATAATGATGGATACATGTTATTACACATTTGATGTACACAGGATACACAGCACCAAGACTAAACTGTAATGTAAACTATAGACCTGGGGTGATCATGATGTGTCAATGCAGGTTCATCAACTGTAGCAAACGTACCACTCTGGAGAGGATGTGGTTAATGGGGGAGGTTATTCATGTAGGGAGGAGCAGAGAATATACAGGAAATCTGTGTACTTTCCTGGAAATTTAGCTCTGGACCTATAAGTGCTTTAAAAAGATAAAGTCCTAAACATTAAAAAGTTAATTCCTTAATTCCCTGTTAAAAAATTCTTAAGTACACTTATACAATCTTAAGTCCCTACTTATAAAATCTAAACTCCCTTGCAAGGCATACAATATTTTTTATTTTCTGATTCCTGTATACCTTTCCAAGATCATCTCAGTCTCTTCCCTTCACCCAACTTCACCCTCCCCCACGAGGACCACAAGTTCTCTCACTCCTTCAAGCTTTTCCATATGGAGTTCCTTGGCTTGGTAAATACCTACTCATTCTTCACGTCTCTGCAAATGGAGCCTTCCCTGTGCATCCTTCTCTCACTTCCCCACGCAGAGCCTGGCCTGCAGTCTTCAGTCTTGGTAGCATCTCTGCTTCCTGCATCTTGTTTAAATACCTAATTTTTGTCTCCATTAGAAAATAAGAACCAAATCTTTCTTTTTGTATCTCCAAAGCCAAGCACACAACCTTATCCACTGAAACGAAGACACCAAAAAGAAAAAAGAAAAAGAGAATGGTTGTGTTTAAGGATTTACAAAAAGTCATCTTGTGGAAAATGTGAGGCAATCTTACAGCACAATTACTGGCAAGTTGGAAACTTGCATAAGCATATGCAGGATACAAGCACAATTTTGTAAGAGAAAAACAAGCAAAAATCCTGCGCTTAAAAAAAGACTGAAGGAAAGTACCAAAATGTTAAAAGTGATGTTGTTAGAATGATGGGAAGCCATGGGTAATTTCCCCCCTCTCATTTTTTCAAAAAATATCTTCAATGCTTAAACAACCTAATACTATTTTCCCTATATGGCCTTGGCCCCCTAAAAACACTCTAAACTTCCTAATCTATCAAACCAAATGGTAAGAACCTAGCACCATGCCACTCCAAGCATGGAGGAAAAAGATGAGAAGCACCTTGGTGCCCAAGGGTTGGAGAAAGTTAAGATGCAGGCTTTCATGATTATTCTTTCTATATATTCCTAACCTGTTTTGATCACCTCTTTTAGATCCAAAAAAGAGACTATTTACATGGATCAAGAAACCAATTAGCATTCACAGATTACCTACAAGAATAGATGCTAAAGGGGGATTAAAAAAAAAACACACAGTAAAATAAGATAAAATAAGACACAGTAATAAAAATAAGGTAAAATAAAGCATGATCTCCACTTTCATGTAATTTATAGTTCTGTAGAAGGGGAAAACTACTCACATGAAACATCAATAGTACACAACTGAGTGATAAATTATGCAATCCAATTGTCCAAACCAACATATAAGTACCATTAACACCTGATAAACATGGCACAATCTGAGAGAGTAACAATTCTATTTTTAGATTAGAAAGATGAGCTATTACAGCTATGTTACAAATATCACACTAAACCACAGAAATATTTTGCGCATTTTAAGGTTTTTGAGTTTGCTTTTAAGTGTGGCAGAAACTGGAAAAGCGTAATTTAAACCACTACTAAGTGGGAAAGACTAAGGAAACAAAATATACCTGAGATTTTTGTCTTTGGGCTTTCACTGCTGGGAAGAGCTCCATCCAGAGACTGAGCAGAGTGAAAAGGTTGACTTTAGAAAGCCTTGGTATTTGACCTACAAAAGAGAGGGCAGACACTTTAAAAATTTTACTAATGATGAAAAGAGGAACTCACTCTCAATGCCATTTGGGTGCTGCAGCCTTAACTTGGCTGCTTTCGTAGGAAGCAGAGAAAAACGATAAGAGGACAAGAGAATCAAAGGGCAGGAGTCTGTCTGGCTACAACCTCACTGTCAGCGACCTCCTCCGGCACTTTTCAAAGTCGGGCCCTTTCTCCAGCCCTCACATGGCAAGGAAAACAAAATGGTAGAACTGATACATGTAACTATGGGAAAAAATCCAAACTAAGTTATGAAAAGTCCTTGCGTCTGAGGTCATCGTGGAGCAAGCTTTAAATTGTGGTGTTGCAAGAAGGACAGTGCGGTGACCTTCGCGGGTAAGGCAGCTGAAATACAGGGAAGCGTCGTGTGTGGTTAATTCGGAAATCAAGTCAAAAGCACGGAATTTTCAGGCTCAATACCCCAGGTCCTAGCTCTAGGTCCTGGGAGGAAAAGTAAAGGGCGGGGGGTGGGGGAAAAGGGGAATGAGCGCGACTTCAAAAGCAGGTCCTGCCAGGCCAGGGGTTCCGGGTGACCGAGCTGAGAACGCGCCTAGGACGGGAATGCGATATCCCAGGGCAGAAGCGCGGGCGAAGACCGGCAGGCAGGGAAAGCGGAGTTACACGGAGGCAGAGGCTCAGGGCAGAGCCGAAAGGCTGGGGTAGCAGCGGCAGGGTCCAAGGCACTCACCAGTCATGCTGCCAGTCTGGGTGCTGACTGACCGCCCGGCCCCCGCGCTCTCCAGATTTTGCATCTGCCCTGCTTCTTTCATCCCAAGCCTAGCGGCCTCTGCTGCCCAGAATACCTCTGGCTATCTGGCATGATCTTGGCCCTAGCGGCTCCACCTCCCGCCTCCTCCCAGCAACTGTACGGCAACCGCCAACTCGGCGCAGCCAGTGACGTAAGAGCCCGACCGCCACTTCCGGGCGCCTTGTGTGTAGTATCCTCGAGGCGTGGAGGCCGTGGCGCAGGGCTGCCCCTCTAGCGGCGGCTGCGTGGGTAAAAATATCGGTGCACTAAATGCTTTCAGGCCTGACTTCAGCTGTCGATGTTTTTGGCCTGGAAGACCCAGGTTGTGCGGACTCTGATAGAGTGATGAGGCCTGCGCAGACTTGTGACTTCTGGTTAAAGGAGTGAAGGGGAATTGAAATGGAAATGCTGCCCCATCTGTCACAGCCGAGATCTTAGAGAAGGGGAAGGCGGGGTCGGGGAGGTGGGAGCTGGGCGGTCCAGGTGGTTGTTACCATCAGATATTGGCCAGTCCTTAGGAACTCCGTGCCAGGGACTACCATAGGGACATTCTGCTGCTCATCAACCGTACCACCTCAAGAAGTCCAACTGTAGGGGCACCAGGGTGGCGCAGTCGGACTCTCGGTTTTAGCCCAGGTCATTATCTCGTGGTCCCAGGATCGAGCCCCTTGTCGGACTCCGCACTCAGCGTGGTCCTTTTCAGATTCTTTCTCTCTCAAATAAATGAAGTCTTTAAAAAAAAAAAAGTCCAACCGTGATTATGAGAAAGGTGGGGGTAGGAAGAAGTAGCAAGTGGCACCTGGAAAATATGGGGAGTGCCATATTGACATTGTAGGGTTGTGCCCAGTGCATTTTATTTGATTATTTTCTAAGTGTCCCAGGCATGACTCAAAATGAAACTCCTCGCTAGTGACTCAGAGCCGTTTCCCTCACCAACCCAATACACAACTTGAAATACTGACAAATATCAAGACATAAAAACAGCTTTTCGAAAGCAAAAGCTGAAAGTTACAAAAATGCATCATTTTGTAAATGACTGAGGTAGTACTCTTTGGTGATAATGGGTATGGCTTATAGTTCCTTAATTATATTCCAGTGGGATATTTGAGGAATGTGACAATATGATTCTAAGTTTACATAGAAGATTAAAGGGTCAAGAATAGCCAAGATATTCTTGAAGAAAATAAGATCTTTTTGGGGGGAGGGAGATAAATAAACAAGTGATAGGCAATACAAAGCCCCCAAACAGGCTCATATGTGTATAGAAATTTGATATGACACAGGTGACCTTGTATATCAATGAGGATATAGTGCTGGTGTTAACTGACTATCCAAATGGAAAATAAAATTGGGTCCCTTCCACACTAAATGCACAAAAATGAATTCTACATGCATGCGAATGTAAATGTCAAAGGAAAAACTTACCATATTTAGAGGAAATATTAAAAAATATTTTTATAACCTTGAGTAGGAAAAACATTTATAAAGATACTAAGATATAAAACCCACCCATTAAAGAGAATTATTGGTATGTTTGGTACTTTAAAATGAAAAACTGTGCACTGAAAGACATAATAAAGTAAGTAAAAAGGCAAGTGGCAAACAGAAGAAGATATTTATCATACACACTCCCAAGTGAGAATGAATATCCAGAATATATAAAAAATGCTTACAAATGAATAAGAAATAAGAAACAAAGAGAAAAATGGTTAACAGGTATTTCATAGAGAAATTAAAAAATGATATTTGTATTTGTATCTTATATGTATGCATATATGTGATTATTTAATATATACAATTAATTATCTTTAATCTCTGTGAGTAAAATCTACCCCTAGGAAAACCATTAGCTTTGTTGCTCACTTTCTTCTTTTTAGATTGCTGCTTTCATTCCATTTTCAGTTCTTTAGTATTTCAGAGTTGTTTAAATATTCTGTTTCCTTTATTTTCTTGCTAGTTCAGCCATATTTTATCTGGCATTTTTGGGTGCTTTGTAACAAATTTGTTTGGGCTATCTTGTCTACAATATTACTGGAAATAATAGTTCTGCTGCAAAGAAGAATAAGAACTAAAAAGGAGTGTAAGACAAATGCTACCTAAGTGTGTAGACATGGACAAACTCAGTTCAAATGAGCACAACAAAGGCTAGCTTAATCAATAAAATGGTTTTAAAAATCAATAAATAATCGATGGAAAGAACATGGACTTTGCAGTCAGATAGAGAAACTGACATCTCTGACCACCCAAGCTGTTTACTAGTTAGCTATGAGTTAGTTGAGACTCCGTTAGCTGTGGGTAACAAATATACACCAAATCTCAGTGGCTTGCCACAGCAAAGGGTTCCTTCTGGCTCAAATTCCATGCTACTGCACTCTTTCTGTGAATTGGCTCTGGAATCCAGGCTAAAGGAGCAGCCTTTGGATATTCTTTTCTCCTGGCAGGAGAAAAAAAGATGGCAGAACTACATGACCCTTAGAGCAAGTCTCATGTCATGAGATGGGATGCATAATCCTGTTTCAGGGACATGCTGGAAAGGCAGGTTCAGCAAGTATCTCAACAACAATGCGATATTAGTAAATTGGCCTTACTAATCATGGATCCTTTGCCTGCTACTTGGTGTCTTGTCAGAGCAAAGAACTTCACATTCCCCTTTCCAGAATCTGTAGTTTTTAACATTTTACCACATTTGCACCATTTTTTGTTATTCTTTCTGTTACATTTACACACCTCCCCACCCCATTCTTTTTCTGAGTCATTTAAGAGCAGGTTACAGGGGCGCCTGGGTGGCTCAGTGGGTTAAGCCTCTGCCTTCGGCTCAGGTCATAATCTCAAGGTCCTGGGATCGAGCGGGCTCTCTGCTTGCTCTCTCTCTGCCTACCTCTCTGCCCACTTGTGCTCTCTCTCTCTATCAAATAAATAAAATCTTTAAAAAAAGAGCAGATTACAGAGACTATGCCCAATCCCCCGCCCCCCCACTAAAAAAATCCAATATATATTCCTCCAGAACAAGGACACTCTAACACAGGCTAATCCAACAGTCCAAAACAAGAAATCAGCGTTGATTGGTCACTACAGGGCAATCTACAGACGTCATTCAAATTTTGAAGTGTTTCAACATGCGTCATTTCCATTCTGGTTCAGTATCCCATCCCCATTCACTTTTTGACCCTTGCTATTTTCCTCTAGCCTCTAACATTTCCTTGGTCCTTCCCCCTGTCTCACAACATTAACAGTTTTAAAGGCTCTAGGTTTTTCATTCTGTTAAGATTCCTCTCCACCAGGATCATTCTGATGTTTCCTCACAACCAGACTCAGGCCATCCATTCTTGATAGGAATGCCACAGAAGTGATAGTCTGCTCTTTTTTTCCATGGATCACATCAGGGGGCAACTCAGTGTTCACATATCCCAGCCATGGTGACACCAGCCTTGTTCACCTGGCAAGTTAGCACCAGTCAAATTTCTAAAGTCACTAACAAAGTCATTATCTTTTCCTCTGTAATTGGTCAGTATTTTGTGGAGAGAAATCCCCCAAGTTACACCAATGTCCTATACCCATTAAACCTCCACATACCAACTTTAGCATCTGTTGGTGATTCCCACATGAATTAACCATGATTGTGATGGCTGTCCAGTTGTGATTTCTTATTTCCATCATTTCTCCTACATATAGTTGTTATTCTATAATAAGGAGGAGTTTTTCCCTCTTCCTCATTCATTCATTCATTCATTCATATCTGTATGGACTTGTTTTCTCTATTTTATTCAATGAACTGTAATCTGTTATCATTTATTTTAGTGCTCAAATTGTCCCATATTTGATGAAATCCTCAAGTTGTCTCTTTTATCCTTTTGACACATCCCTATAAGTCTTTGAGCACTTCCTTACATTCTAGTGCAACAAGATGCTCCAGAATTCATTTTCTACAGTCTCTGAACCAGACACAGAGCCAACATTTCCCCCGAGGAGCCCTGGTTCTTCTTAGTGTTTAAAAATGAAGATCTAGGCAGTAAGTATGCTATGTCATTATGACTAGACATACTCCTGTATCTTTTTCAGTAGCTATATGTCTCTCTAAGAGTTCACATCAACACTTTCAATTCCAAAGTCCAGCATATCAGTTATTTCTAGCCTCTCCCTTTGTTGTATTTGTAAATCTCTTCTCAAACAGTGAGAAACTTGGCTCCCATTATTCTCAAGATAGTTTTTTCTCTTTACCTTTCCTTCTACCCTGCCTCCAATTCCTCTAATCTTATTTCTCTAGCACACTCATTGACTCCTTGGCTGCCCACCCTGTTGCTGCTGCCTCCATAGCCCCTTTGGCCTCCAAAGCAAGGGAAGGGAGGAAGGGGGAGGCTGTAAGATGGCTTTTTGACTGAATTATTCAGAGAAAGAAAAGACAGGAAGGGAAGGAGGGAGGGAGGGAACTACAGTGGTAATAGGTTTATCACAAATTTTCCTGACAACTAGGAGTGAGTGGGTGGCTCAGTTGGTTAAATGTCTGCCTTCAGCTCAGGTTATGATCTCAGGGTCCTGGGATGGATTCCCACATTGGGCTCCCTGCTCAGTGGGAAGCCTGCTTTTCCCTCTCCCACTCCCCCTGCATGTGCGCTACCCCGCCCCCCACCCCACCACTCCCCGGTGTCTCTCTCTCTGACAAATAAAGAAAATTAAAAAAAAAAATTTTTTTTTTCTTGAAGACTAAATGATCCCAAGTAGTACAGTGCTTGGCAAAGAATAGGTGCTCAATATTATTAGTTATTGTCCTTCCCTTCTTTGTCTTTCATTTGCTTATTCTCTCTAGAAAACTGAAACTTCTTTTATCCTAGGTCCTATGTTGGGAATATTAGTCCTAGCAGTGTGTTTATTTGGACAGAATCTTCTCACAGCAAACAAGTTGGGGTTCCATGGAGCTGATCTTAAGACATGGTATCTATACTGGATTTATTGATACTGTTGGTGTTGGCAGAGACCACATACCCGACTTGTAGAGGGAAGTGTACCTCACACTCAGTCTTGCTCTCTGACATGGAAGGCACATCATGACCAGTGACTGTCTTCTGCAGGCCTGGAGATAAGGTGGCCACAGGACTGCTATGGACTGCTGGTGGCCAGTGCACCCTTGTGGACAGGATGGGCCCTAATTTGGTCATTTCAAGCAAAGATGTGACTATTAACACCACCCTGAATCCAGAAATTAAGGTTTCCTAAGCAATTCTCAGAAGGCAGTTCCTGGCCACACTTAAACCCCAAGGAAGCAAAGAGAAGCCAGAAACAAAATCCAGGCGCCCTTCAGAACATTTCGCTTTGTTACGGAGGACAATGCTGCCAAAGAGAAATGACTTCTTAGGCTTACCATATATTGTCCCAAATGATGTCCTCAAGAAAGTAAACTTGGTGCCACATAGATGAATGTGCTACAAAGTAAGAATGCAGGAACCCTGGGAACTCCTGCAGGAACACCTGTGAGGTGGGAAAGACTGGTAAGCCCACTGCCCGTTCTGTCTGGAGGCACTCTGCCACAAGGCCACCCAGCAGAGGCTGGGCAGGTGGGCCTGGCCACCTCAGGCCATATCCACGCCACTCTTGGGTCCCCAATTGTGTGGTGCTCTCCGGACTGGTTTGAGTATTTCTAAATCAACATCCCTGAAGAGGTTCTATAATCAGACATGTTAGGAATCAACAGAAGACACTAGAGGGACAAAACGGGAGGGAATAGAGAGGGAGCTGATAGAGTATCGGCTATGCATCAGACACCTTAAATGGTAACAGTAACAATAATATTTTACTATTTACTATATTTACTAAGTTCTAGGTACTTTGCACATATTATTTACACCTTCCAGCAGCCTTGTGAAGTGGGTATCATTATTATTATCACTACTTAGAGGAACAAGACATGGAGTAACTTGCCCAAACAGTATAGCTTGAAAGATGTGGGAGCAGGATATAAGCGTACACTACTTCCTTTAATACTCCCAGTTCTATGATACAGACTTTTGTTCTCTCCATTTTATAGGCAAGGAAACTAAGGCCCTCGGACCACCAACATCAGTGTCACTGAGGAGCTCGTTAGAAATACAGAGTCATGAACCCCACTTCAGACCTGTGGAACCAGAAGCCGGACAAAACCGCTGGCCAGGACCAGAGGGCTCCAGGGGGTCTCAGACTTGGAGATGCGTAAATGTCACCCAGAGACTATGATGTTAAAACCCCTATTCTTAGGGCCAGCCGCTAGAGATTCTGAGTCTCTGGTGTTTGGCAGTAGTATTTTGGCCCTAGAATTGGTAGAATTGCTTCTGCCAAGTACTTTTTGGTATCACCTTATCTACCAACATTAGCTGATGTTAAAAAGCAAAATTTACATACAGGTTAAGACATAAGTACAAGGATCAAAGTTTTATTTGGCTTGGGGTTGACATACTTTTTTAAAAGCTCAGAGAGTAAATATTTCAGGCTTTGGGATCTCCATCATACGTCATGAGAGCAGCCACAGGCAATATGATCGACTGACTGATAGGACTCAATTAATTCACCCCTTCATTTGGCTTATAGTAGAGAAACTCCAGTGGTACTGAGACCTAGTTTGGCATGTATTTGAAGAGTGCTTTAAATACTTGGAGAGGAGGGGATTCTTAAGTAAAATAGCTAATACTGTAGGGGAGGAAAAACAATATTCCTCCCTCCTTCTAGGTTCTTGGCTGAGAACACTCTCTGCCCAGTAATAAAAGATAGATTAACAAGAAAAACAATTTTTAATTATGTATATAAGGGAGCCCCACAAAGATATGAGACTTAAAGCCCACCAGGCAATTGAGACTTACATACCATCCTGAGCTAAGGAAAAGGATAGAGGTATGGGGCTTCAAAGGGGTGGAAGCAATTGTTTGCCGTACCATGCAGGTAGGTCTCTCAGATGAAAAAGCTTTCTCTGGTAATAGCTTTCTTCCTGGTAGGGGTCCTTTTTCTAATTTTTTTAGGTAGTTAAGAACCCAACTTTTGTATCAACATGAACAGGACTGGAAGAGATTATGCTGAGTGAAATAAGTCAAGCAGAGAGAGTCAATTATCATATGGTTTTGCTTATTTGCGGAGCATAAGGAATAACACGGAGGACATGGGGAGATAGAGAGGAGAAGTGCATTGGGGGAAATTGGAAGGGGGAGACGAACCTTGAGAGACTGTGGACTCTGAGAAACAATCTGAGGATTTTGGAGGGGAGAGGGGTGGGAGGTTGGGTGAGCCTGGTGGTGGGTATTAAGGAGGACATGTATTGCATGGAGCACTGGGTGTGGTGCATAAACAATGAATTCTAGAACACTAAAAATAAATAAAAATTAAAAAAAAAAGAAGGTGGTAAAAAGCTTTTCCTGAGACTGTGGGCCTTGATTATCTTCAGCTCAAAATAATCCACATACCAAAGCAGGACATTCTGAGGTGGCTTGTTCTGAACCCCCTCAATATAATATTCCTGGTTAACTTTCTTCAGGCTGAATTGTAACATCATTTCTACTGGGCTATAAAATCCTAATCCTTTATCAGTTTCCACAAGGTAACTTCTCACCTGCAGGGCTGTAAATTGTCACTTCGACCAAATATGTGCTATTAAAACAAACAAACAAACAAACAAACAAACAATCTGTGACAAGTAATCCCCATTTTATCATTTTCCAGCTGTGGAGTAGTTTTTCTCATTGGCATTATAAGAAAAAGCCTCATGAAGTTGAGTACTGTTTGCTGTAAAGATTTTTGTTAAAGACCTGGTTTTCTAGCTTACAGGATATCATCCTGGAGTACCCACAGGATGAATTCTCCTGTCTGCTGTGAATCATGTAACCTTCCTAACCAGACACCGGGAATGAGTTTTGTGTCCTCACTTTCTCCCTGGTATAATCTTATTTTATCTACCCTCATTTGTATTTATTTCTTACTTTCCCCATTAACTTAATTTTTATCTTATTTTGGGCATTTTTGTAAATTGTTTTATGTTCTTTTTGGAATACAATTTTATTTAAATAAAGAGTATGTTCAGATTGGAGGATTCTTTAGTTTAATGTTTCTTGAGAAGGAAGAGGAAATGAAGCTTATATTTGCATACTCAGAAACAATACATATGATGTCCTTGACAACAACCTAAATGGAATATACTCACATTTATATCATCCATCCTATGACAAAAGTTGTCCTTTCTTAGTTGGCATGTATATCACACATACCTCACCTAAAGGGATCTAAATAATGTAGACAGTTACTCTGCAGTATTTTTTTGTTTTTCAAACAAAATTCACATTTTATTAGATTGAAATAAACTGTGGAAAATGTCTGTATTATTCCTAGATAAACCACAAAACTTATTTTTGCAATAATACCTGTTTTCCTGGTTATGCATATAAATCAAATGACACGATAGATGTTGGTCATGAAAAAAAAAAGAAAATAGGGAAAACCAGACAAATCAATTATCAGTGTCTGTGGACTTGGGTTCTGTTGTGCCTGGAAATTAGTGCTTACCGTACATCTGCTAAAAAGCTGATAGCCCAGTTAGGGTGTGGGCTCGAGAAAGGGACACACGCAGCAGCAACACATGGGGGGCTGCAATGGCCCGTTCTTCCATTTGCAGTAAAAGTAACTTACTTATTTACATCCCGTTGAGGAAGACAAAAATATACACCAAAATCCTCTTTAGGTGAGGGCACGGTTTCCTACAAAATATAAACCACTATTACGGATTTTTAACAATATATTTAAAACACATGGCGCTTGCATTGAATCAGACACTTCACTGCATTTTAGAAATTATTTTCCTCCCCTCTTACCCTCTACCTCCTCAACATTTTTTTCTTCCAAGAACTGATGACTCAAAACCTGGTCATTAGATCAACAGTAGTAAATCTCATGCCCCAAATGACTCCAACCCCCCCATAATCCCTCCTGTAGGAGTCACGTAGAAAGGAAACTCTGTGTTTTTAATACTGTCTTCCTGGAGAACACAAGACCTGTGTGAGTTCCGACCATGGCCACTTACAGGTGAGTGCTCAGTGACTAACAGGTTAGTGGGAGGCCCGTAGGCAAATTTGCCTTCAACGACTAAGTGACCTGGATGTATCTTAAAGCTTTACCTTCTAAAAATGGACAAAAGGCATCCCAAAACATTCTCTTAGATATTTTCAGTGATTTCTGAATGAGGTTTAGGAAGCTCTGACACATTTATATATGTGTCTCTCATGAACTCCAGGGTCATGTTCTCTATTGGGTTAGAGCCACAAGGCTGCAAGACTTGACCTCTGTTGAGTCCGTGTTCGGGCCATGTCTTATGATGCTCCCATCCGTGCTCCTCAGTCTTCATCCTGGAAGAATCCACAGGACCTTAAGCAGGACAGAAACACTGGGGAAAAATACATAAGAGGTAGATCTAGAACATTGTAAATTGTGGACAGAAGCTCTTTATCTTCGCCTCTGTTTGCACTTGAACCTCTGACAATGAAGCTCCACAGAGAGTAAGTCACTTTCCATATGCTGGCATAGTGTTTCTCTGACACGTTGAGGTGGAGATCCCATGTCTTCATGTGAAAACTTTGAGTTGCTGACCTGGGAACTTTCTTGAAGTTCCAGAATAATGTGTTCCACCATGAGAACACCGAGCGTTTAGAATAAACTCAAAAGTTAGTTAAGACTCTAGGTTAACTTAGGAAGTCCTGTAGAGTTTCCCAGAAAGCTTCCCTTGAATTTCTTGTTTCGTGGCCAAATTTGTGGCACCCTCAAACCAAAAATCATAATAAAATTCACTATTTTCCATCAGTTCACTGGTGAATGTCACACCGTAATCAGGCTGTGAAGATGTCAGACGTTTGCTGCTGGGGTTTTTCCCCCCAAGGGCTCTTGTTAAAGTAGGACATTTTAAAAATGACAAATGAGGGGTGCCTGGGTGGCTCAGTGGGTTAAGCCTCTGCCTTCAGCTCAGGTCATGGTCTCAGGGTCCTGGGATCGAGCCCCACATCGGGCTCTCTGCTCAGCAGGGAGCCTGCTTCCTCCTCTCTCTCTGCCTGCCTCTCTGCCTACTTGTGATCTCTGTCTCTCTGTCAAATAAATAAATAAAATCTTTGAAAAAAAAAAAAGGGACACCTGGGTGACTTAGTTGGTTAAGCTGCTGCCTTCAGTTCAGGTCATGATCCCAGGGTCCTGGGATCTAGTCCCACATTGGGCTCCTTGCTCAACACGGAGCCTGCTTCTCTCTCTCTGCCTCTGCCTGCCACTCTGTCTGCTTGTGCTCTCTTTCTGACAAATAAATAAATAAAATCTTTTTTAAAAAATGGCGAATGAAACCAATGCAATAGAAATGTGTTTATGTTCCAGAGAGCCAACTGCTTGACCTGCCGTAAAGCTGCTCCATCCAGCATGTGTGTCATTCTTCATACTGTCTCTACATAAAACAAACGCTTGCAAGAGCTCTACCTAAATTTCAAAAGCATCTTATCTGCCTGACTATTGAGGAAGGCCCATTTCCTCCTGTTACTCTACCTTTCTTCACTTCTCTGAAAAAAGGCAGACACTACCTTGTCAAATCCAAAAAGCAGTTGTAGTGACTGTTGGAGAAAAAAAAAAGAACAATCTTCCCCAGTTGTTCTCAATGCAACAAACAATAAGCCCTGGCTTCCCAAGAAAAGCCCAGTGTGTTGATACCTTGGGAATATTCTCCAATAAACCCTGCACAGGGCTTTGATTTTGGAAGGAAACTCACCGTACCTGACCGCATCACTTCTCCGTAAGCAGCCCCTGCCGTGTGTGCATGGAGGACACCACACAATCTGGACAGAGAGAAAGACTGATTCCAACAAGTGAAAGTCAGATGTGAACTGAGGACAATAATGCTAGTTTACATTGACTGAGGATTACCCCATGCCTGACAGTGTGAACCAAGTATGTTGTATTATTATATATTACATATATGTTGCAGTAAGTATATAGTATATTAATATTATGTAATTATTACTATCGTAATACTGCAATGCACTAAGTTTTTAAGAAATCAGCCTCTCGGGATGCCTGGGTGGCTCAGTTGGTTAAGCAGCTGCCTACAGCTCAGGTCATGATCCCAGCGTCCTAGGATCGAGTCCCACATTGGGCTCCTTGCTCAGCGGGAAGCCTGCTTCTCCCTCTACCACTCTGTCTTCCTGTGCTCACTTTCTCTCTCTGACAAATAAATAAAATCTTAAAAAAAAAAGAAAGAAAGAAATCAGCCTCTCTCCTTGCCCAAAATATATAGTATCCTCTATA